GATATTTCGAAGGCTACTTCTTTAAGACAAAAATAGAAAAAATACACATTGAAGTAAGAAGAAAAAAAACATTTAAAAAAACTGTTTAATTTTCTTATCTCTTTCTACAATTACAATTGTAAATAAAACACTTTCCTATTTTTTTTATAAACTACAATTAAAAAAATTTTAAAAAAATCAAAAATTAAACAAAAAAAAAATTTCATTTCGATAGCTACTTCCTTAATTCAAAAATAGAAAGAAATTTCCAAAAGAATACGCAATAATTGGCCAAATCTGTAAAAAATATTTCAAGAAACTTCAGCCGCCTTTTTTTCTCTTTTAACCCAAAGAAAATCATCAATAAACACCCTTTTTTTCGTAATTTTAATAATGATTAAAGCTAGATATTTCGAAGACTACTTCTTTAAGTCAAAAATAGAAAAAATAAAAATTGCTCAGAAACTCCGAATTTTGAAAAAACTATTTTTAATAGCACTAAAAAAAACCATCTGTGTAAATTTTTGTGAATTCATCTCAACAAATTATTGAAATAATTAAAAACTTTAACCTCCATTTTTCCTATTTTAACCCAAAAAATCACCTTTGAAATATTTAAGCTAAGTAATAAATAAGACCATTTTGTTTGTAATTTTATAAATAATTAAAAAAAACTGTTTAATTTTCAAAATATCTCTTTATACAATTTCAATTGTGAACAAAAAACTTTCCTATTTTTTTCATAAACTAAAAATAGAAAGAAATTTCCAAAAGAAAACACAATAATTGACCAAATCTGTAAAAAATATTTCAAGACTCTTCAACCGCCTTTTTTTCTCTTTTAACCCAAAGAAAATCACCAATAAACACTATTTTTTTTCATAATTTTAAAAATGATTAAAAAACCTGTTTGGTTTCCCAAAATTTACTTTAAACAGTTGTAAAAACTATGATGTAATTGATTGCAAATTAAACAAAAAACTTGAAACATTTTGAGAGCTGCTTCCTTAATTCAATTCCCGATGTAAAAAACTGCTGAATTTCAAATAGACTTTTGTTAAAAGCCTGACATTTAATTTGCTTTTTAATCAAGATTTAGTTCTCACAGGAATTTCAGATTTGTTACCATAATTTTTTATTTATCATAAAAATGAACAAGAAACGTTCCAGTGTATCCATTGAATATTTAAATTTCTACAGTTTATCTCAATAAAGCGAGAAATGGGATTTGATACAAGACAAAATTTCACAATAAAGCATTTTTCAGCAATAATTTATTTTATTAAAAAATTCTAAAATGAAAATAAAAAAATTCAACAAGCCAAAACCAATTTTGTAAATATTTTTTTAAATTGTTTGAATTATTTATAAGTGTAAAACCGTTGATTAAATATTCTGGATATTTCTTTCTAGAATGAAGAATGATCATTAATGACGGAAATATTTTAATGCGATTATTGTGTCAATTCCAATTGTCATTAACAGAAAAGAATAAAAAATTGTCTATTTATAAACTCAAAGTCGTAACACTTGATCACACCTGATATACTCTGCTGTAACTTTGCCTTCGTCAGAATTTAATAGTGCTAAGTCTTGTGCAAACATGTTCCCCTGCAAATATTTACCTTTTAAATCCCAAATTACAACCGGTAATGGCTTCCAGCTGATTCGAAGAGACTTTAATCGAATTAAGAAATAATGAATTGATGAAAAAATTGTGCAATGTTATTAAAACATCTTACGAAACGGCGCTATTTTATTGTATAAAGATGAGAATTGCGTAAAATCTATTTATTCCAAAATAAAGGCTTTAAAAGCGTAAAAATTTCCGCTGTCACAATCCATTATGAAAGCGTGTAAATTCTCAGATTACCGTTGTCGACGG